AAAGGGGTAATATCACAAAGGAACAGGTGAGTGTAGCTCAACCCCTGGGGCTGCAGGAAGGCGCACCTATGCCTGAAGACACATTCTGCTACTTTGAGGATTAGGGCAGCTGTCTAGGGTCTCTGCGAAAGTGACCAGATCACTACGAAAGTGACCGACAGAGCTCTACCGATCCCAGAAGGAAAATTCTGGTCACTCAGTGTGCGACGCCCCCCCCCCCCAATGACACGATGTCATTCTTCTGTTGATGGACACCTAAGCTGCTTCCGTACTTTGGCTGTTGTGAATTGTGCTGCTATAAACATGGTGTGCATGTGTTGCTACAGTGTGATGTGTGCTCAGCTTTCTGAGTGTGTGTGTATTGTGTATGTGTTTATGTATATGAATTTGTGCATACACACAAATGTGTGTGTGTGCACACATCTAAACTATGAGGAGTTGTCTTCTCTTTGGGGATATGGGGTTGACATACTGCAATAGTTTCAAAGTGAAATTGAGTGCTGGGTTGTACAGCACTTAGTGCTAGAGGGTCTAGGTCGGGGAACAGAGCCAGCTGGAGAGCCCGCTGGGAGGAGGAATCTCCAGGACTGAGCTTGGAGTTTGTTTAGGGAAGAGGGAGAGGGGTGAAGAGAAGGGGCACTGACAAAGACTGGGTGAGGGGAATGTGCCTGACAAGAGCTCGGCGCTGGCCTACTTAAAGTGAGAGGCCAGGTAGCATGCCGTCAGACAGCAGCCTGACAACAGGAGGTTTTGAGATTTTTATCAGGAAATATTATGAAGAAAGTATTAAAGATTCTCATTCTGCAGGTAATGTGCAGGGTGTATTGGAGAGGGAGAGAGTGACATCAGAGGGACCAGCAGATGGCTGATGACACAAGGCCTCCAGGCTTGGGGTGTGAAGCAGGAAGTCTGTCTAGGAGGCCAGTTAGTGAAGGGGGAGGGGGAAAGTTTTTTTGTTTTTGTTTTAGAGGGTTTTTGAGAGAAATGGATGGTAGAAATAGCAGAAGTGGAAAAATAGAGAAAGTTTTGGTTTAAATATCTTGATTTTTCAATGACAGGACATTGAAGTAGCAGTGTTTTGTTTGGTTTTGGCAGCTTTGTTGAGTTATATTGACCCACAGTAAATTGGACATACTTAAAGTGGCAATTTGATAAGTTTGACTTGACAATCAAAATGGAACATATCCGTCACCTCAGAAGTTTCTCCTGCCCCTTTGAAATCTTCCTTTCCCCAAGCAACCACTGATCTGTCACACTGTAAATTAGATTTCTAGTACTTTGTATAAGTGATGATGCAGCATGTGCTTGTTTTTCCTCTTTTCCTGGGCATAGCACTTTGAGCTTGTCCATGTCACTGCCTATATCCTCAGTTGGGTCCCTGCTTGCTTATACCAGTTTCTTGTGCACATGCAGGGTTGAGGCCCGGATGGAGTCTGCCTGACGGTCAGGCTGTGCCGCAGTCTGGCTGGGCACAAAATCACGTGCCACTCACAGCTTTGTAGATTCAAACAGCAATTCTTTATTCCCGAACTCATACCAGCCCTCTACAAACACGTTCTGGGGAAATTCACGTTCTGACGCAAAATTCACGTACTCCACCAGGCATTGAATCCCAAATACTTTCTGAATCCCAGGAGAACTCAAAGGGAACTCAAGGATGGGGGAACTCAAGGATCGGGTGTGCCTGAGGCAGCAGGATACTCCCTATTTCCAGCAAGGTACACTCTAAACCTGGATCCGCCCTAATCCAGTAGGATCCTCCCTAAACCCGGATCCACCCTGGTCCTTGAACAGGGTCACCTTTCTCAAACATACATGCAATGTCACTGCGAATGTCCAAGGCAAGTCCATTTCCACAAGTCCTTCCTCTAAGCAACATGGGGTACGCTGGCAAGGAAATTTCGATGCATCATTCCTACTTGGTGATGGCTCTCAGCAAGGCTGTGCCTGGGCCTTCGCCCTTGGTCTTGCTGAAGCTTTCTGATGTGTTGTATTGTGTGGCACTGGGGATGGAACCCAGGGCCTTTGCTTGCTCCTGCTGAGGCTTTGGGAGGAGCACCCCAGCAGGGAGTACACAGCAGATGAGAGCTGGGGAAAGGAGGCCCCTGCAAAAGGGGATCACACACAGCTCCAAAGGATAGCCAAGCTTTCTCTGTAGAGAGCTGCTGAGGGTCAACAATTTTAAGGCTTAAGAAGGATTTTTAAAATCAGTTTTAATTTTAATTAGCATACTTATTCTGCCAGTTTCATTCTAAACCGATTGTTTTTCTTTCTAGGCAACAGGAGAGAAATCCTTTTCTATTCATAACAGTGCTGGGGCAGTTTCATTTCAGGTACGTCTTCCTTTAGGGATGTTTCCCCAAATTTATCTCTACCATGTAAAAGGGTGAATTTTTCAAAGCATTTTGAATTTAGGAATAATAGTTTAGACTGTGTGGTAGTTACTTTACAGTAGTTTTCTGTGTAACGAAGCTGCAAGATGGGAAGCTGGGTGGTACACGTACACCTGTATTCAGGAGGTGGAGACAGGAAGATTGCAAATTCTAGAACAGCCTCAGCAGCTTAGCAAGACCCTGTCTCAAAATTTTAAACAATGGCTGAGGGTGTAGCTCAGTGGTAGAGCACCCCTGGGTCAAATCCCCAATACTAGAAAGAAAAAAAAAAATACCTGCAAGATGAATAACCTGCTTACCAAATCTTAAGTTTCTGAGAATGAATAACTTTGTAAATGTCCAATGTTAGCAATAAGGCTAATTGTGCCTGGCTATCCTATGACACCTCTGCCTCTCCAGCCCCAGGTGCCTCCCTGCAGAGTATGTCAGTGCATAGATAGAATTCTGCACCTGAGAGGACCATTGGTGACAATGGAGGGTGATGTTGTTGTTCTAGGAGAGGCCAGAGGCCTTGGGTGGCCCCTTGGCTGGCACAGTGTTAAATGCATGTGAATGCTTTCATGGCAGTGGCATGGCATTCATACAAGGATAGGTGACATTGGACAACTCGCTTTCTGAACCTCACTACTTCATTGTCTAAAAATGAAAAATGAAACTGGGCACAGTGATGTATGCCTGTAATCCCAGTGACTCGGGAGGCTGAAGCAGGATTGCAAACCAAGACCAGCCTTGGCAACTTAGTGAGGTCCTAAGCAACTGAAGGAGACCCTGTCTCTGAATAAAAAAGACTTGGTAAAGAGTCCCTAGATTGAATCCTCCGTACCAAAAATAGAAAAATAAAAAATGGGGCTGGTGTTGTGGCTCAGTGGTAGGGCGCTGCCTAGCATGCATGAGGCACTGGGTTCGTTCGTCAGCACTACATTAAAAAAAACTAATAAAATAAAAGTGTTGTGTCCATTCACAACTAAAAATATTAAAAAACAAAGATGAGGCCTGTCTCATAGGGTTTTTAGGAGTATAATTTTTTTAGATTACATGTACAAATAATGGCGAGGCGCAGTGGCACATGCCTATAATCCTAGCAACTAGGGAGGCTGAGGCAGGAGGATTCCAAGTTCAAGGTCAGTCTCAGCAATTTAGCAAATCCCTAAGCAACTTTAGTGAGATTTTGTCTCAAAATAAACAAAGAAGGACTGAGGATGTATCTCAGTGGTAGTGCACCCCTGGGTTCAATCCCTGGTAACAGAAAACAAAAACTCAAAGTACAAATAATGTTTTATAATTAACTCGTTGGAATCATGGCATCTTTTCTAACCAGTTTTTATTAATTGAGGACCAATTTGCTTATAGTTAAAATGCCCAGGTCTTTAGTGTATGGGTCTATTCCTTGTGACAATGAGTGACCATGGAACCCACTCTGTTCTACCATCTCAGAGCATCCCAACCCCACGCTGCTGTTCTTATTCTTTCACAGTGAAAGAATAAGATCTTATGTTCTTGAAGCTCAGTAGCTGTCCTTTTTATCACCATCAGAGTGACTAGCTGCAAGTCTCCAGAGGTGCAGACTGTGCCTTTGCTGGGACTCCTCCAGCAGCTTCACTTCTGACTCAGAGGAAGCACCCGGCCCTTCCACCGGCCTCCAAGGTCCGGGTGACATGGCCCCTGTTGTCTTCCTGACCCCAGCTTCTCTTTGATCCCTTGCTCTCTCCACTCCCCTCACCTTGCTCCTTCTGTAGGCCTCTGCTGTGCTCTGGTTGTGGCGTGCCTCTCGGAATCCCTCAGGTCTTTGTCAGGTGGCACCTTCCCAGCAAGACTTTACCTGAGCATCCTCTTTTTTGTGTGTGTGTGGCGGGGAGTGTGCTTTTTTCCTTTTTTTTCTTTCTTAAGTGAGTGAGGCCATGGAAAATATAGCACACCCCTGAACCAAAGTGCACCCCCCAGCCAAAAAGAATACAAGATGGAAAAATGCATGCACAGGTAGTACTCTAATCTGAAAGCACAAAGACACCGCTGTATATTACATGCCTTGGTTCAAGAAGAAGGTACTAAAAACCCTGCAAGGGAGAAGCCTATAAAAAGAAAAGGGCCATTTTACAGAAGAGGAATCTGAGGCCCAAGGAGGCAGGTGGCTTGCCTAAGGGGGATTCAGATCCCAGCTTGTTCACCTGTGTGTTTATCCCCTCTGCTTCACTGCGTCCTTGAGAAAATACAAAAGCTGCCCCTCTCTCCCCCAACCTTGCACTTTAAAATGTGCATTAATGAGCGGGAGGTCTGGGCTGTGTGCAGGGCTGCATGCACTCCTAGGAGGCCAGGTAGGAAGTGACAAGTCCAGCTGGGTGGCTGAGCAAGCACCACCTCTGAGCCCTCTCCCCACTCCTATTTTATTTATCTTGAGACAGGCTCTCACTAAGCTGAGGCTGGCCTCAAACTTGTGATCCTCCTGCCTTGGTCTTCTGAGTTGCTGGGATTCCAGGAGTGTGCCACTGCACCAGTCCTCTGTTATAAAAAACATTTTTTTTTTCCTAAAGAGCAAAACAATATGTTGGCTTGAAAACTAGGTAACTGGCCAGGTGCAGTGGTACATGTAACCTTAGCTGTTTGGGAGGCCAGCACAGGAGGACTGCAAGTTCAAGGCCAGCCTCATTAATTTAGTGAGTCTGTCTCAAAAACAAAAAGGGCTGGGGATGTAGCTCAGTTGTTCAGTGCTCCTGGGTTCCATCCTCAGTAGCAGGACAAAAGAAAACTAGGTAAGTGCATAAGTGCATGTTAGATTATCTTTGCAGACTTCTCCACAAATCCAACACTGATGGTCAGATGTGTGACGAGGCAGGTGTGGAAGTGTGGTGTGCAGTTAGGTGGTGGGGGCGAGGTGTCTACTGCTTAGGCCCACCTGTCATTCTGTGCTTGGACATTGCTGTAAGTACTGGGAGGAGACTGTAGAGTAAGAAAACATCAGTTTACACTCTGCTGTGGGAGAGTTTAAGTGGTCTCTTTTCTTCTGTCTGTAATATTCATAAGTAATGTCTAAGACTTAAAAAGCTGAAGATTTGAGTTCTCTTAATTTTTTTCTTCTTTATTTTCAGTTTTTTTTTAACATCAGCACTGATGACCAGGAAGGCCTTTACAGTCTTTATTTTCATAAGTGCCCTGGCAAAGAACATCGGCTTAATGACAAGTTTTCATTCAGCCTTGATGTGAGTACCATGTGGAGACTGTTCCTCAGGGATTTTGATTGTGTAAAATTAAAGACATATATTTCTGTATTTTTTTTGTTTTTGTTTTTCTATGTGTGGTATTGGGCGTTGAACCCAGGATCTATGTATACCTAAGCATGTGCTCTGCCACTGAACTACATCTCTAGCCCCTAAGAGTAGATTTTGAAATCACTTCATTAAGAAAAAAAAAATGTGGCCAGATTAGCATCCCTGGCAGTGTGCAGGATACTTCAGCAGAGAATTCCTAAGTAAGAAAAGAAAAAGCCTGTGCATTACGACTGTGGGCATTGCCAGGCATGGTGGCGGAGACTCCAGGGGTAGAGGCAGGAGGGTTGCACACTCAAGGCCAGCCTCGGCAACTTAGTGAGACACTGTCTTGACATAAGAACAGGCTGCTGTGTAGCTCTCTGTTAAAGCACCCTAAGTTCAATCCCTAGTGCCAGAGTGAAAAAAGAAAAAGAACGTGGTTGATGTTCTGCTGTTCTTCACTCTCCTGAGCTCCAGTGAAGCAGCTGAGGTTCCAAATTGATGAGTAAGAGGTTATCTGTTGCTGAAAAGTAACTTAATTTCATGTCGGTTTCAGATTGAGATCACAGAGAAGAATCCTGACAGCTATCTCTCAGCAGGAGAAATCCCTCTCCCCAAATTATACATTTCTATGGCCTTTTTCTTCTTCCTTTCTGGGACCATCTGGATTCACATCCTTCGAAAACGACGGTAAACTATTACATCCTTGAGCCCTTCACCTTAGAGTATGTTGAGATTTGTGTGATTCACTGTAAGCAGGATCCTGCACCTGGGAGGATCCAGTGCTCGCAGCCTTGTTCTCTGAAGGGTGTCTTACCTGAAACACTCGGGGGCAGCAGGAGCCCTCCAGTGTGGGAGACCTTGTGTGCCTCAGTATTTACAATAATCATTTTTGGTTTAAAAAGTGAATCCAAAAGTTTCAATAATATCCAAGTACAGTAAAATGCATAATCAGAGTGATTCCGTAGCAGAGACCCTGTTGCTCAGGCCTCAAGAGTGAGCGCCTTGGTCCCTTGCAGGGTGGTTCATCCTCGAGGAGGCTGGTCATAAGGCTTATTTGCCCAGGTGAGAGCACAGAGGTCCTGTCCAGCACTGCAGGCAGCGGCTCAGCACCTGACTGATCCTTGTGTGTTGACCCCCAGATGCTTGCCACTGGAGAAAGCCTCTTCAAGCCCATTTGCCCAGCTCTGGGTCTTTGTTCAAAATCCCAAAGCTTCGGCTTCCTACCTTGGCTCTTGAGAGCAGTTGCATGTGCATGAATTCTCTGTCTCCCATGAAAGCTGAGAATAAAATACTGTGTTTAGAATAAACTATTATATTAAAAGGACCACTCACTCACTGATGCATGTGAATATGGTATTACAACATAGATCAGTTGAAATTAAAAACAAATTATCTCCAAATACCTCTTTTTCTGGAGCCCTGAGGCAGAAATTGAGACCTCTCCCCCCTGGTGGCTTAACTGTCTTCTAATAGACATGCTGGGAGTCTGGGATACTGGTTCTGGGGAGGCAGTTACTGGTCCTGTGTGTTGTAATATCCTGTACATCCTCCGGATGGAAAGAGTTTGCTCACTTGTGAAGGTCCTGCAGATCATGTTTTGATGAGATTAACCACAGCCATTACAAAGAAAGAATCCTACAGATGCAGGCCATAAAGGCTTTTTTTTTTTTTTTTTAAGGAAAGTTTTTCTTTTGCCTTTGTAAGACAAGTAGGAACTGCAGTCAGAAGTTAAGGCTGGGGTTGTAGCTCAGTGGTAGAGCGCTTGCCTCTCATGCGTGAGGCCCTGGGTTCAATATTCAGCACCACATAAAAATAAATAAATAAAAATAAAAATATTGTGTCCATCTACAACTTAAAAAAAAAAAAATGTGGCCTTAACTGTGGCTCCCTGTCTGCTTGCTTTTTTGCTCTCAGCCCTTTTTCAGCCACAGAACTAGGACAGTGATAAGTGCTCTGACTTCTTCTATGTGTCCCAGCTCTTGGGCTTGTTGTGTGATTCCCTTCAAACTGAGGGAGCTTTGCACATCAGAATGCTATACAGGTGTGAGGTGTTATGGAATAGCGTTCTAGCCAGGTATTTTGATGGCATTTTAGTTTCCCCATACTTAGCAAGGACAATAATCATTGTCACTGGTTCACGATAGGAAATGGTGGTAGTAGTTCTAAGCCTGTGGCCAAATGGGGCTGACCTATTTTGTTGGAGTATTGTAGGCACATAGAAAGGCACGTGTCTCCAGGAGTTGAATGCCAGCCCTGCTGGGTGGAGTCTGAGTGGTGTGAAGGCTTGTGACTCAGGGCTGCTGGGTGCCTTGGAGAGGCTCACAGCCCCTCAGAGCCCACCTGAAAGAACAAGAGATCTTTGCCACATGAATGCATTGAGGTCCAAAGAGGGGACATGAGTGGCCTGGCCAGCATCTCCTAATGGAGCTGGGCGTGGCCCAGGTCTGCCTGCTGCTGCCCATCAGGCTACTTTCCAAAAAAACCCAAAAAACTGAGCTGTGGAGCAGGGAATGCACAGGTGTAGCCACCAGGTGCCTGCTGTATGCACGTGGCTAGGCACTCAATGTTTAGTTCAGCTCCTCCTCCAACAGCTTGTTTAGCTGGGTGTCCCCCCATTTTCAGAGGAGGTTAATGAGGCGCAGAGAGATTAAGATCAAACCAAGGAAGAACCAGTATTTGAGTCCAGGTCGCTGTGGGCCTCGGAACCTATGCTCTTTCGGTCACACTGCCACCACAGCAACTGAGGCCTACAAGTCAGGCTTGCCAGGAGGGCTAGTTTGCACTCTGGGTGGATCCCATTGCTGTTCCAACTGTGGCAGACAGCTCTGGCTGGGACTTCCCTTTTTGGCCTTTAAGTAGGTGGGCACGGGACAGGAAGTGCTGTGAGTCAGCCCGGAGCCAGGTGTGCACCAGGTCAGCACATTCTCACTCCCACTTTGCATAAGCCGCTCTCCTGCCAGATCACTCCCTTTACTTCCTGTCTCTCCCACTCCTTCCCAACCAGGAATAGCCCCCAAATGTGTGAAGGCAGTTTGGATACTTATATATTTTTGCAAGTAAGTAATATTGTTGGTACTGCATATATTTTAAATTTATAGAACCTAGCCTGGTGTGATGGCCACGCCTATAATCCCAGCAACTCAGAGGCCCAGGCAGAAGGATCATAAGTTCAAGGCCAGCCTCAGCAACTTGGCGAGGTCCTCTCTAAAAATAAAAAGTCCTGGGGGTGTGCCAATTCCGTGGAACTACATGAGTAGAGCACCCCCAGGATTCAATCCCCAGTAACACAAAACAGTAAAAATAAACTGTGTGCAGTGGTGCACACCTGTAATCCCAGTGACTTGGGAGGCTGAGGCAGGAGGATCACGAGTTCAAGGCCAGCCCCAGCAACATGAAACCCTGTCTTAAAATAAAATGTGCTGGGGATGTGACTCAGTGGTTAAGCGCCCCGGGTTTAATCCCTGGTACCAGAAAATAAATAAATATGAATTTGTGGAAACCGTCCTCTCTGCATACAGTCTGAGTGTTGCTCTTTCACACTCTCCTTAATCACAGGCTTTGTTCTGCGCAGCCACCTCACTGCGTGTGCCTGACGGGTTGATTTCTAGCCCTCCACAGCACTCCATGGCCTCCGTCCCCACATGTGACTGTGCCATTCCTTGACAGTGCATGCACGACAGGTTGCCCTGTCCCTCCTACCCCAGATGGTGCTGTCATGAGCCTCCCTCCAGCCTCCTCAGATCCCCTAGGAGGCTGGTGCTCTGAGAAACGGTCCTAGGGGGAGGGTTGGAGGTCTTCGCTCCCACAGTTCCATAAAGTGCTTCCAGCTGCCTGCTTGTAGCCCCCATGTGTGCTTTCACTGATGGTGCCAGGGCTTCCTGTTGGCCCACACACTCACCAACACACACATCTTAATTTTTGCCAATTTCATGGGTGTAAACTGGAACCTCGTTTTGTTTTGTGTTCTTTTGAATATCGATGATGTGGATTTTCATTTCAGGGATATCTTCACCTCTGGTGCCTGCCTGTGGTTTTTTGTTTTATTTTGGGTTTTTTTGCATTTTTTTTCTGTGTTTTTCTGGTTGCTTTGTACGAGTCTCTTGCATGTTCTGGACATTAATCCCTTGTCTGTCTTATACATTACAATTTTTTTCTCCCAATAGTTCAACTTTTCTATGGTATTTGTTGTTGAATGAAAGTCTTTTGGGTTTTTGTTTTTTATATACTAGGGATTTGACACTGGGGCACTTTTACCACTAAGCTACATCCCCAGCCCTTCTTAAATTTTGAGACAGGGTCTCACCAAGTTGTTGGGGAGCTCACTAAATTGGTAAGGCTTGTCTTAACTTGTGATCTTCTTGTCTCAGCCTCCCAAGTGGCAGAATCGTAGGAGTTGGCTCCTGCACCTGGGAAATCTTTGGTTTTAATGGAGTCAAAGCTACTGCCATTAGTCTTTTGGGCAGTGCCTGTTGGATCTTAAGAAGTTCCTTTCTACTTCAAGACCATGAAATTTTAGGTTTAGAATTGAAATGTGTCAGGAGTCCTTTGGTGTAAGTGTGGAGTGGAGACCAGGTTTATTTTTTCCCACCTGTAGGTTCGAGCTCATGTTTCCCATGGTTCCCCTGCAATAGTCTGTCTGTTTTCACCAATGCAGTGTCATTTACCCTGTGGCAAGCTTACACACACACACACACACGTGTCTTCACGTGGGCTCTCTGGTCTGTCCCATTGGTCCATTTGTCTGAATAACAGGTAAACTGCCCCTGTTCCACACTTTCTCATGCTGTTCCTTTGCAGAATGTCTCAGTCTCTGAGTGTGCATTTCTCCTGTGGCTCTTCCTTAAGTTTTTCTTATTTTTTCATTTTTAGTTTTTTGGTTCTGGGTTTGAACCCAGGAACACTTTAACACCAAGCTGCATCCCTAGCCCTTTTTATTATTATTTATTTTGAAACAGTATCTTATTGAGTTGCTGAGGATCTCCCTAAATTGCCCAGGCTGGCCTGGAACATGCTATCCTCCTGTTCGGCATCCCGAGTTGCTTTGATTATAGGCATGGCCACCATGCCTGGCCCAAGTCACTCTTTCTATTAACAGAGTTTTCCGTCTTTCTCCATTATGGTCTTGTGTGTCCTATTAGGTTAACTCCTGGAGGGAGGTGGGAATGGGAGGAGGAATTTAATATCTGGTCATTTACCCACAGGCCTGAGGGTAGAGACAAGGGTGTGGGCCTGTCCTGTCCCCCCCCTCCTCTGTCCCCTCCTGTCCCCTCCCCTGTCCCAGCCTTCTTGTGTGCTGGGCCGCAGCCTTCACCTACAGCTGCACCTGATCTTTCTGATTCCCCAGGATTTCATACTGTTTTTGAAGATCCGTCCACCTCATTCTCACCTGTGTGGCCTTCCCAGGGTGGTTTCCAGGGAACACTGGCAGGCTGGGCTAGATTTCCATCTTGGCAGGTCTGGGAACCCACCAACCTGACTTTGCTGCTCACCTCCCAGTTCTACTCACTGCCTTAATGTATGTTTTAGAGGTGTCTAATCTGAGGCTTTTCCTCTGGCAGAAACTTCTTGGTTTTGAACCAACTGGTGATTGAAACCAGGAGCACTCTGCCATTGAGCTCCCTAGTCTTTTTTTTTTTTTCCCATTTTGAGACGGGGTTGCCTAGGCTGACCTTGGACTTGCAAACCTCCTGCCTTAAACTCCCAGGTAGTTGGTATGTGTGCCATCATGTCTAGCTCAAAAACTGGGGTGTATGCCCGCCACCCAGGTTATTTGCTTATAAATGTCTCTGATGCTTCCGCTTTCCTTGGGGAGAATGGGATCTTCTTTTAATTCTTTTCTTTTATTTTTACAGGAATGATGTATTTAAAATTCACTGGTTGATGGCGGCCCTTCCTTTCACCAAGTCGCTTTCCTTGGTGTTCCACGCAGTATGTACAAGCAGCTGGGATCATTTAGGAAACGGTGTACATGCCTGTGTGAGCAGGAAGGATGAGTCAGAGGAAAGGGATAGCTAGATGGCAGGAAAGAAGAGGAAAGAATATGTTTTCCCTCAAGCTGCCTTTTGCTCGGGGAACTGGCTGGGGAGATGATCCCAGCCTCCACGGCTAGGCCAGGTCGGGTCAGCTCCTGATACTGCCACCACCAGCGGTCTCCTAGATGTCCTGCTTTAGTCCCTCTTTGGGCGTTTCTTGAGGTGCAGGTGCCTCCACTTCCTCTGTTTTTCCCAATCTCCCTCGTGGGCCTCCTGTATTTGAAGTTCACTGTTAGCAGACTTGCTGGTGGGACCCTTGATGCTTTTAAGATTGAGAAATAAGAACCAGGCCTCAGCTGTGAGTATGGAGAACAGGTGCAGATTGAAATGACTTTGCCTGTGAGGGGAGAGCTCGGTCCCTGCAGTGTGTGGCCTGTGTGCTCAGACCCCACCCGGCCCATTCGCCTGTTTGCTTGAGAGTGTCCTCACGGGGAAGAGCAGACATATGTCCAGTGACATTGTCAAGAAATAATAGTTATTTAGGTAATTTCTCATTTGGATCTAAATTTAAAAATTCTCTCTGGAGCCACAGAGATAATGAATGACATTGTCCATGTTGGACAAAGCTGCTGTCGACTTTGTGACTTGTATATGAGGCACTTTGGGCATGCTGTCATTTTAGTTAAGATGTGTTTGGGGCCTCAGTGCCGCAGTCTGGCTGGGCACAATTCAGGAGCCACTTGTCAAAAGAAATGAACTTTATTTTTAGAACACACACACCGCACCACACAGCCCTTCAGGAAAACCCTCAGAGCCCAACTGCCACCACTGGCTTCCCACAAGCCCCTCCACCTCCCACAATCCTCCTGCTCTTGAGGCCGATTGGCTGGGTCGTGTGGGCGGAGCCAAAAAGTCCCCCAATGAGCAGCTCCCGTAGTCTGAAAGGGCGGGGAAACAGCCCAATGAGCATCACTGCAGAGGAGCCAATCAGTTGGCAACTAGAAGTTTGCTGGGGCCGCTGTGAGCCAATCATCAGCTGGCAGTAGGAAGTTTGCTGGGGCCCCTTCGGCTGTGGCTCTCAACACCTCAGCTCTCTCTAAATTTGTGAATTTTTTTTTTTTAAAGAATAGTCAAAGCCAGTTGATTGACATTAATTTTTTAAAATAATTTTATTGTTGATAGACCCTTATTTCATTTTTATTTATTTTTGTGTTGTGCTGAGGATCCAACCGAGTGCCTCCCACGTTAGGCAAGCGCTCTACCACTGAGCCACAACCCTAGCCCTACATTAAATTTTTTACTCATTGGCTGACCTATTTCCTTATGTAAGCAGCAGGGTGTGAAAGAGAAAGTTCTCAGCTGGCATTGGGACTTTGGAGGCTGTTAAGAAGGGAATAGGCAGCCATTTGCTAGTGTGAACTTTTTGCCTCCCAAGGGTCCTGGGCAGGATGTTAGTGTCATTGAAGCCTAGTGTCACATTTCTAAAGCTCCCTGGTGTTTAACATGTACATGCTTGTGGTGAGTGGACAGGGAGGGCTTGGTCAGTGGGCTGTGGTTATTGTTCGCCATGCACTCAGGCCCGTGGCGGCTCAGCCTTTCTAAGATGTGCTTGTTGGTTTCAGATCGACTACCACTACATCTCCTCCCAGGGATTCCCGATTGAGGGCTGGGCTGTTGTATACTACATAACTCATCTGTAAGTATGCGACCCACGGAAAAGTGGTGTGCGGGAAATTGTGGGGCTAGATGTGGCTCAGTGGTAGAGCACTTGCCTAGTGGTGTGAAGCCCTGGATAGTCCTCAGACCACAAAATAAAAACGGAAGGGGGAGAAATTGGGAGAGCCGTGATAGGTGGCAGCTGTTCAAACTGACCAGCGGTGCCCCGTGGCAGCCTGCCTGGCCCCCTCTGCAGCTGGTGCCTTGGAGGTCACCATGCAGACCAGGGACTGGGCTTGCTCTATTCCCTCCTCCTGCAGCCTCAGCTCTCTCCACCTGAGAGGAGTGCTGCTCACACACAGAGCACTTCACAATTGGGCTCTTGGTCTACAAGAAGCGTGTGCAGCTGTGGAATGAGCTGCCAGTCTCACTGCTGGGTTAGAATCTGAAGAGACCTTCTGCATCCTCCACCTGCTTTCTCTTCCAGGTTGAAGGGCGCGCTCCTGTTCATCACCATTGCGCTCATCGGCACCGGCTGGGCTTTCATTAAGCACATCCTCTCCGATAAAGACAAGAAGATTTTCATGATAGTCATCCCACTCCAGGTACAGGAACCCCAGGCCTGCTTGTCATTTCTTCTCTTGGCCCTTGGCAGGATTCAGCTGCAGACCCTGCTCACCCAGAGATCCCAGGTTGGGTCTTTGGGGATTGAAGATGGGCATCCCATCCTGACCCTGAACCATCTGGACTTCACATCCTCTCACTGGGAGAAGCCAGACCCTCTGTAGACCAGCAGGGATGCCTAGCCTTTGGTAGAGAGGTGCAGAAAAGTGCGGGGGAGACACTGCCTTCCCTTCTGCCCCTGATTGCCACTAATAAAATTGTCCTCTTAGTGAGGAAGCCCAGATACACAGTGATTTTTACCAACCAGGTATTTCAGAATGTGAATGATACCCATTGAGTTACATGGACACCAGGGACAAATTTTATTAAACCTTTTTTATATTTGGAGACGGGGCTGGGGAACGGGCTGCTTCCAGGGTGAGGGACCTTGTCTTGTCTGCACTTAGCGGTCATATTGGAGGTAGGTAATGGACAGGAGCAGTCATGGGTGCTGTAGCAGAGAGTTTGATGATGGTGCTCTCTGGCTGGGTTCATGATTTGGAGTACCAGTGCAAATGTGGCAGGTAGAGAAGGCGGGCAGCTCCCTGGGCACCAGCCAATCCACTCTGGTAACTGGCTGCTTGGTGGAATTTGCTGTGGCGCTACTCTCATTCAGCCATGAACATAGATCAGCGCCCAGGGAATAGTACAGATCAGTCACTGGTGTCCAGGAGCAGTCACTCACAGTGGTATGCCCTAGAAGGGCTTTCTATCAGGGAGGACTTGCCTAGCCATTGCAGGAAAGCAGTGTGCCGAGGCAAGGGAGTGGCCACAGACATGTGGTGCCGCTGTGTGGTGAACCTAGGGTACCAGCGAACATGCAGGTCTCTTGGTGGTCAAGTTACATGGCCACTCTGTGGCCAGATCAACTTCTACAGCTTACCACTCTCAGAGCTTATAGATGACAGGCCTAGGCCCTCCTCCCACTTTGCTAGATGGCTGCCTGGATCCCTTGCCCTCAGACAGACTCAAACTGCCCCCAAGGTTGACCCCCCCACTCCCGTCTGAACTGGGGTGTGACAGGGCATGGACTTTCCTGCTTCCCCTGTTCCCTTGGAAGAGAACCACACAAGGTTACATGGAACATCTCTTTGAGGAAATGTAGAAAATTAAATATGAGGAAGTTTGGCGTGCTTAGACATGGGATTGGTCTGAGAGGACCTTGAACATAAGCCTAAAAAGTTAAAACTGCTTCCTTTTGGCCACAGATACTGGTGGACAGCTTGCTTGCTTTTCTTTTCCTTCTGCTGGGGCTGAATCCAGGGCCTTGCACTTGCTTGGCAAGTGCTTCCCCACTGAGCTGCACCCCAGCCCCAGCTGAAAGTTTCTGAGTAAGGATTAAGTGGTGCATAGCACAAAATTGTGTTTCGAGAACATTGTTGACACATTGTTCAGCACAGACACCTCTCAGGAGCATCCTGTCTCCTGTAAACCCTAGGAGTTAAGGACAGTGGAGTCGCTGTCAGAGGAGAAGCTCTTGTGTTCCCATTGTCATTGTACAGTCACTGTAAAAGACTTCAGGAGAAACAAGTAGGGAAGAACGCAGGAGCCAGGGCCAGTGGGGAAAGTGAGATTTCAAATTCAGCTTTGCGTTTGTACTAAATGAAGTTTGGTTTCTGTGCCAGCTTCATTCATAAGCTCTATACCTAGAAAGGAGCCACACTTCGAGGCCTCCTAGGTCACAGCACCACAGCTTCTGTGTTCCTTATGATCCTCTGGAGAACTAGCCGTCTTCACAGCAAGCCAGGCAGGTGTTTGGACTTCTCATGGGATGTGTAGTTGTAATGTCATCTCTGCATCTGTACCTACTGGTGTCTGTGAAAGAACGTGTCCTGAGATGTCAGTTTCCTTAATGGTCAGTCATATTGGGTGAGACAGCTGAAAGACTCATAGCACACCAAGAGCCTAGTTATAGACCAGACCCATGGCAAAGGTGTGACTTTGCAAATAGAGGCCAGATGTGGATGTGGGCGAACCTTGCTCCAGTGTAGGGAAGGCCTGAACTTGGATCGTTCAGGACCAGTGTGGCTACTCGGTTGCTGGGCTGAAATCTGCTATTCTTACCTCTGTGGTCTCTGATCAAACAAACCTATTATCAGGTACTTAAAGAGTTATTGTCACTGGGGAGTGTCGGTTTTCTGATTAAATGGGGCATTAAGTGCCATCTATTCAGCACCTGAGTGACCGATGAGGCCTGAGTACCCAAAAAGCAAAGTAAAGTGTCCTAATTATACATTGCTACATAACAAGTCATCCCCAAAAAAGTGCCTTTAAGCCATAGTAACAGTCATTCTGTCTCAGTTTCTGTGGGTCAGGAATTTAGGAGTGGCTTAACTGGGTAGGTCTGCCTCAGAGTCTCGTGGTTGTGGTCAGTGACTGGGACTGGGGGTGTCTAGAAGTCTTTTAGTCTTCTTCCTGAGCTGGGAAGACTTGAGGGGATAGAAACAGGGCCCCTTGGGTCTCCTGTCTGCATGGTCTCTAGCATGGCTGTTTCCGCAGACTTCTTCCCAGCAGGCTCAGGCTTCTTCCTGGCAGTCACATGAGTCCCATCTGCTTCACTCCATTGGTCAGAACCATCACCAGCCTGACCTGGTCCAAGGGAGGGCATAGGACCTGCGCTTCTTACCCTCAGAGTGACAGAGTTCTGGAAGAGCTTAGGAAGTAGTGCAGCAGCCGCAGGTGGAGGCTCTGCGCTCCCCACCAGCCCTGCTCTGGGGCCTCAGCGGCTTCTTGTGTCCCGTAGGTCCTGGCAAACGTGGCCTACATCATCATAGAGTCCACAGAAGAGGGCACAACCGAGTATGGCTTGTGGAAGGACTCTCTGTTCCTGGTGGACCTGCTATGCTGTGGCGCCATCCTCTTCCCAGTAGTGTGGTGAGTGACCCCAGGAGGAGCTGCCCACACCCGGGGCCGGCTGTCAACCCAGTAGCCGAACTGGCTGATCTTAAATTAGTCGGAACCACACAGGGCCTCTGGGCTTTTTAGTACAGCTTTGTGGGCTAGACTGCCCACAGAGTGTCCAGGCGGGACCTGTGTCTTTTTCTTTTCTTTTTAGTTGTAGATGGGTATGATACCTTTTTCTTATGTATTTTTTTAACGTGGTGCTGAGGATTGAACCTAGCACGACACATTTGCTAGTCAAGAGCTCTACCACCTAGCCCAGCCCCAGCCCCAGCCCCAGCCCCAAGTCTTTATCTAGTGGCCCAGGTACTTCTGATGGAGCTGGCCTGGCAGCATGGGCTGGGGCAGAGCACAGTTCTAGACTGGAGTCTGGGAACAAGAAGTTGGTGGCAATGGGAAAGAGCAGGCTGACTTCAGCGGACAGGGAGTTGAATTCCCATAAATAACCCTTTCCTGCCAGGTCGGTGGAGAATGAGGAAGTTCATGAACACTAGTTAGTGGGCTGTCAGCACATGCACAGTTCTGACAACTTGAGAACCGTGTGCTGCACTCCTGCAGGTGACAGGCTGCAGGTGCATGTATTGCATTTTGAGTATGCATACAGAAGTGCTAGTACCATGTCAGTGGGTGAAGGCAAAGACTATCCGTGTTAAATCACATTCAAAGTGATGGAGATTCTTGATCTAGTAAGGGTCCACTGGAGGAGGGAAGATGGCGGGAACAAAACACCTCACCCCTCGTGGTCTAGCTCCGTGGCTATTTGAGTGCAGTAAATTCTTCTGAAATCCAGGTTAAGGAAAGCAAGATGCTTCTTATTGAAGTGTCCTCTGCAGAACACTAGTTATTTTCTGGATCTTGGGGTTTGTAGATTGCCTGGAGCACAGTGAAGCTGGTCCTCATTCCAGCTGGGAGAGCCACACAGCCTGTGTGCGCATCCAAGCTCAGCAGACAGCTGCCAGCAGAGCAGGGGACCAGAGCTCCTGCATCCCCCTCCTCCGCATGCTGCCCAGGGGAGGAATCGGGCCACAACTGCGCTCAGACAAGATCCTGCTCTGTACATGCCATTGCCAGGCAGTAATGTCAGGGATCCAGAATAGCGTAGATCTACCTGCCACTGGTCAATTACTGTACTAATGAACAGATCCAAATGGCAAGACCACTTCGGCTAAATATCCCTAAAAATACTGTGAATGAAAAAAATAAGGTCTAGAAAAGTAATTTAAGAAATAACATGAATAATTCTTTAGAGTACTCAATTCAGCCAGCACTGCGCCAGTTCCAGCCTTACACTGGTTAGTCTCCGCGGCAGCCGGTTTAGACCTCACAGAGGCAAGCTCTTGAGGCTTTAGGAAAAGTGGCTTACTCACCACAAGAGGGAGTGGCAGTGCCCGAGGGAGCCTGGGTCTGCCAGACCCTGCCCTCTTCCCTCACCCACCCCACCGCCTGCTGCACGCAGCCTTGCTCTAGTGGCAGCCTTGCTCTAGTGGCCGCGCTGTGCGTGGGACTCCGATTGCAGCTTCTTTAGTGACATGTCCCCTGCCTGAGTGGTGGTGGCAGTCATTAGTTACTGGCATAGCACAGCAAAAAAAGACTCCCTGGGGCAGCAGTTTTCCACAGATTAATAAATCTCCACTTAATGAGTTTGCATAAACCATATGTTCACAGCCCCTGGACCCAGATGTAGATGGTGGCCAGCAGCTTTCTAGGGTCAGTTCTCTCACGGTGGCAGGAGACCTTAGCGAGGCTCTGTTGTTGTCATAGTCAGGTTGGGGTGACTGTGGGACTGAGGTAGGTAGAGACCAAGAGAGTTCTCTTCACTGAGGCCCTGCCAGACTCACTGCCCCGTCTCTGCCAGCAGAGGGCATCCTGCCTCGCAGACCTGAGCGCCATAACTGGGGAGGTGCGGGTTAGCATAGGAAGAGTGCTCTAAAGTCACTAGTCCACCCTTTCAGTCTGTAATAGGGAAATTCAAGGCCCCCGAGCAGCTTAAGCAGGAAATAAAGAAGAATGCACATTTGCCAGCTAACCTTTTTTCTCCAAATGTTTATTTTTAGGTCAATCAGACATTTACAAGAAGCCTCAGCCACAGATGGAAAAGGCAAGTCCCCTCGTGCTTCTGCTCGTTGCTCGCTTCCCTCTGAACCCCACACTGGGCACTCTTTGGGGTGGGTGGGGGGCCTGGGGACCAAGTTTGCAGGAGCATTCAGTGGATGCATGGTGGAGAAGTATGTGTTGAGTATCACAGAGACCAGTTGTATACAGAGGATTGGGGAAGGTTGCTGCATATTGGGATTTCGTTTCTACTTGTGATTTTTACCCTCTCAAACTGAATCAGTGCTAGGCATGGTGGTGCAAGCCTGTAATCCCAGTGGCTCGGGAGGCTAAGGCAGGAGGATTGTGAGTTCAAAGCCAGCTTCAGCGACGGGGGAAGCAGGAGTTAAGCAACTCAGTGGGACCCTGAGTTCAATCCCTGATACCACCCCCCCCCAAAAAAAAAAATCAGTGTGACAAACACCTGAAATCCTGGTGACTCGGGAGCCTGAAGCAAGAGGATCACAAATTGGAGGCAACTTAGTGAGACCCTGTCTCAGAAAAATAGAAAGGTCTAGGGATGTAGCTCAGTAATAGAGCACCTATGGACTAAGTATTCAGTACCAAGAAACACACACACACACACACACACACACACACACACCACATTCTCTCTCTCTCTCTGACTTAGAACCATTTGTGTCCTGGAAGGGCTAGCTAATGTTGCCTGTGAGAATAGGAGTGCTGTGGAGTGGAATTGGCTGTGTTTAGAGTGGTCTTTTCTGCTGACCTAACATATTTTCAAAATGGTTGTGTTGGTATTAATTTTAAATAAAACTCTGAGTCCAAAAAGAACTTTTAAAACTAGCTGATATTTTAAATGGTTATCCCATTATAACCCATCTGCATCTCCTTGATTTTCCAATCATGCCTCTTGTATCAGAAAAGGAGCCATAAAGAAAATATATGTTTCTGTGTTTCTGGGCTGGCTTGACAGTGCCCAGGACCAGGATCCAGTGGCACAGTGGGCACTCGGATCTCAAAGGCTGCAGTGCCCTCGGGGGATCTGCGAAGTCTTACCAGTGCCGGCAGTAGTGTGCTTCAAGGCAGATTATTCATTATCAGTAGTAAAAAGAAATAAGTTTTTGTTTAAAAATAAAATATTGTTGCCAACCTTTTATTCTGATTACAAAAGTAATGTGGGGACTGCGGCTGTGGCTCAGTGGTAGAGTACCTACCTTGCATGAGTGAGGCACTGAGTTCGAAACTCAGCACCACATAAAAATAAATTAAAAAATAACACTAGAGATAAACAAAAAAAAAGTAATGTGGATTCATTTGAGAAAACATAATGGCCACGAATCTCATTTCACAGGCTTTAGAGTACAATTACTATCTCATTCTTTCTTTTAAATGGAGTTAAACCTGAACTAGTGTGGCACGCCTGTAATCCCAGTAACTCAGGAGGCTGAGGCAGGAGGATTGCAAGTTCCAGGCCAGCCTCAGCAATGTAGTGAGACCTTGTCTCACAATAAAAAATAAAAAGGCTGAGGATCTGATTCAGTGGTAAGGCACCCCTGGCTTCAACCCCAGTACGAAAAAAAAAATGCACGAAAGCTGATTTAGTGATTTCCCACCACTCTGGGTTCTCTGGGTTCTTATTTAGGGCATGGTATTAAGGAGGCTCTCCCGGTTTGTGACCAGAATAGTGACTGTAGAGATTCCCTCTGCTTGGGCCTTGGTGCTTTTGTTTCTGGGCAGCCTCATACCCAGGATCTTGCCAGGCTGGGACCCATGGTTGCTCTGAGGCCTGCTCCCGACCCCCCAAACCTCAGCCAGCGTTTGTCTTCTTTCTAGTCCTCTCTTCTTCCAAAGCACTGGATTCCCTTTTCCTGCACTGGAATGCTCTCTGACAGAAACTTTTTTTAAGGTACTGGGGAAGCTGAGGCAAGCCTCCTACCTTAGCTGCCCGATTGAACTCAGGGTTACTCAGCCTCTGAGCCACATCCCCAGCCCCATTTTGTATTTTATTTAGAGACAGGGTCTCACTGAATTGCTTAGCACCTCGCTTTTGCTGAGGGAGGCTGGCTTTGAATTCACAATCCTCCTTCCTCAGCCTCCTGAGGCGCTGGTATTATAGGCATGTGCCACTGCTCCCTGCTGTGACAGGTTCTTTTCAACAGCTCGGAGCTGGGACATTGTGTGCAGAATGCTCATGTAGCCTTGCTGGTCACCTTCCCTGGAGCTGTATTAGAGAGCCCTCTCTCTGCCTTCATGCTGTCGAGTAAGGAAGCGCAAAAAATAAAGTGGATATTAGAATCTTAATAGACCACCTTGCCACAAGCATGAAAACCCACCTTTTGGCAATAGTAATTGTTTGGGGATATTCTTGTCCTTTTTTTCTCCCATCTACACATGCTGTGTTAAAAAAAAAACAAAACCTTTGTTTTGTAATGTAATCAATAGGGTCCTCACCCTTACTGTAACATATTAACACAAAATATTTTAACGAGCAGACTTCGTACCACACACGGAACAATGAGACAGGAGGTTCTCAAGTTGGAGGCCAGCCTCAGCAACTTAGCAAGACCCTGTCTCAAAATAAAAAAATGAAAAGAGATGGGGATGTGGCTTAGGAGTGGAGTACCCCTGGGTTCAATTCCCTGTGCCAAAAAAAAAAAAAAAAGAACCTTTCTTCTATCCTTGTATACTTTGGTGTTTCTGAATTAGTTTTTCCTACCACTGGGCCAGAAACACTTGGCCGTCCTAAGGGCAGTGTTTCTCTCCTGGGCTTCATCCTGTGCCTTGGGGCATTCCTCGGGTCCTTCCTCACCAATGCCCTTCTCCTTTCTCTGTTGTTCTGAGATCTGCTGCCTCGGTGCCTTCTCCACCTTGCTTTCGAGGGTCTAGGGGTGACTTGCTGGCTGGCAGTCTCTGCAACCCCTGACTTCACCTGAGGTTGGCCCTCAGCTGAGCACTTGGTGAAAGGCTCAGCCTGGGGTAGACTGCACAGCCACTGAGGCCCCGGGTGGGTCAGTGTTGTCCCCCAGCCTCTGTGGTATACCCTCTTTTGTGCTTCTGGGAGCACACAAGGCAGTTTCTCACTTTTCCACCAGGTGGCAGCATGGGCCTCTTCAGCAGAGAGTAGGGTAAAAGCAGGCGCTGGTGCCCACAGGCCCGTTCTGTCCAGAACACCCAGTCCTCCTCAGCAGGGACCACCACAAACCTTTGACGGAGGGACCGAGTGGAGTAGAGTGGGGTGTCTGTGGACTGTGAGTGTTGCTCAGTGGGTGAACATTTGCCTAGTGTGTAGGTCTGGCTTCCCTCCCTGGCACAAAAAAATAAGAAGGTTGGATTGTCAGCGGGTAGTTTTTTTGTTTGTTTTTGTTTCATTTTCTTTTGTATCAGGGATTGAACCCTGGGGTGTTTCAACTTTTGAGCCATATCCCCAGCCCTTTTTATTTTTAGACAGGGTCTCACTAAGTTGCTTAGGACCTCACTAGTCTCAAACTTGAGATCCTCCTGCCTCAGCCTCCAGAGTCGCTGGGATTACAGGCGTGCACCACTGCACTTGGCCAGACTGTCTTCTTTATTTCCCCCAAATAAAGTGGGGGTGTACCGGGGACTGGACTCAGAGGCTCTCGGCCACTGAGCTACATCCTCAGTCCTGTTTTGTATTTTATTTAGAGATGGGGTCTCACTGAGTTGCTTAGCACTTCCCTGTTGCTGAGGCTGGCTATGAACTTGTGATCCTCCTGCCTCAGCCTCTGGAGCTGCTGGAATTACAAGCGTGCGCCACCGCATCCGGCCCAATTGTCTTCTTGGTGGATGCTTTTGAGCCAGTCCACTCCATCCTTTGAAAAATGGTCATCTAGTGAAACTCCCAGAGGCTAGGCAGCCACGTTCCCTTAGCGAAGTCTCCCCTGTGGAGAGGACTGTGGAACAGCACTCTGCTAGCTAGCCCCGCTCAGTGGTGACTGCAGCATGGTCATGCCCTGAAGGACTGCATGGGAAGGCAGGATAAGCACATGGCCAGCTGCTGTTCCTTATGTGGTCCACCCTGTGTGCCCCTCACCTGTCCTGAGATCTGCCGGTCCTGGAGGACAGGCCTGTGGGGCCTCAGGTGGTGACGTTGTCGGAGCTGGAAGCAGGGCAGCGTGCCACAGGGACCTGACCTTCTGGTGCCTCTTCCTTGGCTGTCATTCCACTGGTCATTTCATGGCTTGCTGGGACTCGGGCTTTAGGTTCTCCTTAGTAGCCGAGGTGCAGTCCAGGCCAGGCAGAGTGCGGCTTGTAGTTGTTTGGCATTTGGGCTGAACACAGCTTCCAGAGAGCCTCGGGTTTTGTTCACTTCTTTGTCTCTGGATCCCTTTTAACAGCATCTGAGGGAATGTAAAGGAAGACATGAAGGAGGAAGCTGCCTCTGTCCTCAGCCCTTTGTCCCTTCTACCACATGCTGTTTCCTGGGTCCTCTGTCATTGAGATTCCCTGCGCTGCAGGGGCCTCTGAGCTTAGGGAGTCCTGCTTGATCACGCCCACCCTGGCCCCCTGTGCTCCTGCCAGGATCCATCCACTGTCTCTTCTTGAGCTTGCAGGCTCCTCTCCCCGGGTGGCTTCCTCTTAGGGTCAGCCTGGGCTCGGACAACATAAATAACATGGCAGCCTCTACTCTGGTCATCCTTTTTTTGGCCTTGCGTTTCTGCAGGCAAGCCAGACTTACCTTTTATGTGGCTTCAGAAGCCTTTGCACGGTGGTGATTGGCCAGCTGTGACATTCTGGAGGCAGGGTCTGGATCTGAGCTGCTGTGGGTTCTGCAAGGAGCCCTGGCCATAAGAGGAACCTGTGAGGGCAGCAGCTCCCCGGGGATCCTCAGGACCCCACTGTTCCCACAAGGATCCCTCCTTAGCGTTTTGACTGTTGGCGTTTGCACTGCTGGTACTAAAGCAATGCTGGGCTGTGGCACCAAGCTGCACTAGAGCCTGTGTTCTTCACTGCCACCTATTCGCAGGGACAAAAAGCTCTCAAGCCACTTAAGAATGGCCTTGATGAGCCAGGCACAGTGGCACA